CCCCCCCCCCCCCAGGAGACATATCAATGTCTGGAGACACTTTGTTGCCACAACTGGATGGTGCTATTAGTAGATAGAGGCATGGGGTGCTGCTAACATCCTACAATGCACAGGACAGACCCCACGACAGAGTTATCCTCCCAAATGTCAGTGATGTTAACGCCGAGAAATCCTGCTTGAAGGGGACCGGACTCCGGCTTTGGCTCCTCCACTTTGCAATCCTTTTTGCAATTATAGGTAACTTCATATTTGGCTTTTGCCTGATCATTGAAGAAGCAGGAGTTGAATTTGCTGATTGGTGCTAAAGTTATTGGCTGATCTCCAAATAAATAGTGGTTTCTATTAACTAGTGCATCAGGGTTCATTTAGAGAAGCAGACCACTGGGAGTGTATCGTCTATATGCCTCTGTCTGTCTGTATGGGATTCATTACAGGGAATTGACTTGACTCAAGTATGGGAGCTGGTTAAACAGTCTTTGGAAGATTGCACGGCTGGTGGTAGAGCTGGAAATCCATGGGCCAGGCATGGGGAAGGGAAGATGGGTGTAAGATGAGGGGACAAACAGGACAGGCTGGAGCCCAGGGATGTCCTGGATCCTGTGTTCGTTCTCACTGCCTCTAACCTTGATGAAGTGGGTGTCCTGCAAGAGAAGCTATCTGGTGGCCTTTGTCACAGAGCTGAACACAGACCTGGCCCAGGAGTGTGAAAAGCTGCAGGGGCATCCAGAGGAAAGTATAGCAGTTGCAGGCCAGCTGTGCCCCACACCAGCAGGGTTGCCAGCGGACAACCAAAGTGACTTCCCCAACCTCACAAGCATAAACGCTGGCTGCTTCACTACCACCCTCCAGATCTGGCACAGAAATCTCTCTTGCGGCACACCCTAACCGGAAACAGAGAAGGGAATTCTGGAAACTAGGTCAGCCTAGCACACTTCACATGTTACAAAGGCACCATCACCGGATCCACTTCCACAGAGAATGTGGAAGTGAAATGGGCCTAGAATCCATGCTTGTACAGGTTAACCTGGGCTGCGCTGGTCGTGCTGAGCTGGGAGGCTTTGAGCTCCTCTCCTTCAGAGCATGAGACGTCACTCTACAATTTTGGGATGAACTACCCACTGTTTTGGTCTAAGGTGTTTCCTAGACTTGAGAACTTCCATGCTTTTCATGTGCTGGAGACTTGGCTTATAAAGACATTGAGAGAGTGATGTAACAGCCCTCCAAAAAAGGGATTAGAGAAGCCATTCACAGAAGGTCACATATGATTCCATTCATGTGAAATATCCAGAAAAGGTAAATTCATAGAGACAAAAAGCAAATTGGTGGTTTCCAGGGGCTGATTGGGAGTGTGGGGGTTGGAGTAACATCCCAACGGATCCAGGGTTTCCTTTGTTGAGGGAATGAAAATGTTTTGGAACTGGAGAGGAGTAGAGGATGCACAGCGCTGTGAATGGACTGAATTGTTCACTTTCAGATGGCTTATGTGAATTTCACCTCAAAAAAAGTTAATTTAAATGCAGATTAGAGACAAATAGTTTTGAATTACGATCTCAGTTTCACCATTGCTATAAATAGATTGGAGTTTTTAATATCATTGATTTTTTTTCCCAGCTTTATTGAGGTATAATTGACAAAACTTGTATCTATTGAAGGTGTACACATGATAATTTGATATACATTGTGAAATTATTATTAGAATCAATATATCCATAATTTCACAGTTACATTTGAGTGTGTGTGTATTGAAAACACTTAAGATTTATTCTTAGCAAATTTCAAGTATACAGTATTATTAGCCATAGTTACCATGATATACATTAGATCCCCAGAGCTTACTCATCTTATTGATTTCTTAAACACAAAAGAAAGGGGTTTGAAAAATAACTCTTTGAGTAGTGCTAAGATCTGTATGATATTCCAGTCTGCAAAAAATCGAGAAGTCCAGAGCCTTCTATTGAGAAAAGGAAGATCCCACATGCGCTGGTGTAGTAATGCTCCTAGGAGTCGTGAATGGAATTCATGTCCTCATGTTGCAGGTGGGGAAAACCTCTAGGTGAGGCTGGCCCCTTTAAGACTCCGAGACTGAAGTAATCTGGTAGCTAAGGAGTCATAATGACAGTTTTCTAGAGTAATTCTCCCTGGAAGTAGAGTTCTTATTCTAGAGGACCAGATGTAATGGGGAGTGGCACCATCTTCTCAGTTGGGTTGGTGAGAGAGAGATGTAGATGGGCTTATACTTCTCTGGGTTCATTTTCTAAAATATGGATGTCTGTGCTCTAGACAAGGGACTATGACATTTATTTTGGGTTCTCTGTGGGGAACGCAGAGTTTAATGAAGGAAGGATTTCTTTGACATGTGGTCTAAGTGTGCAGTCCTATTTCTAAAACTTAGGAAGGAATGGGCAGTGGGCAGTGGGGGAGAAGGTCCTGGCCCAAAGCACCCATGAAACCCATTGCTAATGTAAACACGTCTGCTGAAAGAAGGACCTCTGGCCTATGTGGAGGAATATTACTTTGGATTTTTGTTCAGGTTTTTCGTGAATCCAGGTATTCTCGAGTCAAGGGCAGTCAGTCAGTGCTCCTAAGGGACTCACACTGAAAACAGGTGGATGAGACCTGCAAGTTTGGAACCGCTGACGCCCACCACCACGAGAGCCTGTGGCTTGGGCGCACACTTGGGCATAAACTCCCTCTTCTTCCAGGACAGGGAACCAAATTGATTGCTATCTGTTGCTGCAGGAGGTGGTGGCTTGGAAATGGACATGCTAGAGGACCTTGAGTCCCTGCAGTTTGAGTATGAGATGGAAGAGGAAGACCGCAACTGGCTGTATTTGCAGGGTCGTTTTCGGGGGCTGATGATCAAGGGCTGTGCACATGCAACCTTCTTCTGCAAGCTACTTTGTAAGTTGAGGTAAGCTAGGTCTCCAGGGTCAGACAGATGGAGAAGGATCTGACTGAAGAATTGAATGACTTAAACTTCTTATTTTGGAGAATAACTTTGGCAAGGGGTGTGTTTTCCTACCCACAGTCAGTTGCTCCTGGTCTGAAAACACCAGGGAAATGCATACCAGGGTCCGTTGGCTGTGGTTCTGTAACAAAGCATGAATTAGTAGCGATTTCCTTTCAGTGGGTAGATTGATTAAATGATCAATTCATCCATCATCCATCCATCCATCCACTCATCAAGATGACCAGCTTGTCTTCCACATCTACTAATAACTAGCCATTCTATGGCTATTGACTGAAAATGAGGTCAGTTCCTTCTTTTGGGGCTGAGCTAATAGTGGAATACTCCCTCACAGGAAAGCCACTGGGGACTTTGGGGGTCCCTTTGGCCAGATGACTTGCTTGAAACCAGGAATACTGATTTGCATAGATGCTCCCAGTCCAGTTTGGCTTCTGATATCTTTGTACAATGTGGCTTCAGACACTTATATAGGAGGAATGTGACAGCCAAGTACCTAGGTCTAAGCTCCTGGATTCTGTAACTCTAGGTTACTCTTGAAGCATTTGTCGCCCTAGTCTATTTCTCAGTTTACTTTTTCTAAAATTATGTTAACTCCTCAATGGTGGGACCAGATCAGAATTGAACATGTGATAGACATAGCATATATCCAAGGAGGCAGGCGGCTCAATGAGTTTGCTGATTGGCTGATAAGGATGCACAAACCTATTGGTTGCATCCAAGATGAGTGAGTGGTGAGAAACCAATATATGAAACTTCCCGGAGGTATTTTATGTTTGGAAGGATCAGGCACTGAGAGAAAACACTTTTTCAACCATGAGAGAAGCCTTAGATAGAATATGGCTTGTGATGCTTATATGGAAACTCTAGAGCTTTAGTCTTTAAAAACACCAATTTTCACAAAAATGCAGAACAAACACAAGGTTGTCGTATAACAACATCCAACAATGCCTTATGTATTCAGAGGTCAGACTTTGTTCATCTTGGGCAAGGAAACACATCCAGAACCAATAGTAAGTGAACCTCAGGAAAGAGAGGGCTCAAATCCTTGATCCTCAATTTCTCAGGTCTGTTTTCCCTGATAGACCATTTACTTTCATAAATCATATGTTTGAAAAAAGCTAAGTTACCTGGTTTGCTGGATCTGTGCGGAACTGACATAGCAAACTAGAAAGAGTAGGTGTGTGGGGGTATCGTAGGAAAGGGGTATGTTCATCCTCATAGAAATGAAAATTTTCCATCAGGAGGAGCGCACAGGAAGCGAGGAACAGTGTTCCAGGATGATGGATGACAGCGGCTGTTCACGATGACGGTCCTGAATCAAAGAAATGGTTTACCATTCAGGCAGTGTATTTAAGAAGGCAGGGAAACGCACACCACATGCAACAAAGAAAATGGTCATTTAAAAATGTTTTGAACAAGTTTTGGTCCTTTGATGGAGTATGTTTTACTTTCTGGAAAATTTACCCAGGAAGAACATTTCATTCCCGAGTGGTGCTGGATGAGTGGCATAACATTGGAATGCCTTATCTCTGAAGTCCTTACGGTGCCACCAGGCTGCCATGTGAGGAAATTCAAGCAGGAAACTCCAAGAAAAGCTCTAGGGTGAGCGTGTATTTACACGTGTGTTTATGTGTTCCTTCTCCAGACAATCATTACATGAGAAGCAGACTCCCACAGATCTCGTGACTGGATCTCTTGATGACATTCCTGATGATGATGATTTAAAGGTGGGCATCATTGGAGGCGGCCACCTTGGGAAGCAGCTGGCTCGTGTACTGCTTCAACTTGTCCCCATTCCTGCTGAGAGGCTGCGGATCTCCACTAGGAGGCCAGAGACCCTGGGTGAGGAGTGGTGTGTGGTAGAAAGAGGGCGTGGGTGTGCTTTTTAATGTCGATGAGGCCATTTTGAGAGGGGAAGCCTTGCGTGCAGCAGGCTGCGCTCTTAGCTTGCTAGTCCCTAGACAAGCTAGAAAGGTGGTTTTTAAACTTGTTCCTTAAAACAACTTTTCTTCTCCACTTAAATGTTTTATAGCCATCTCTCCTCCCTGTGCCTGTAGTGGTGAGATATCTTTCTGGGTCTTTGATACAGAGAAGCTTTCCAAACAGAGTACAGATCTTCTAACTGGACCAGTTAGAGTCTGGTGGGTGTAACCAGTTCCAAATATTTGGCCTTATGTTTTTAAAAATAACCTTTAGTTAATTTTAAAAAGTGTTTTGTAATGATTCCATTTAATAATCCGTGGTGATAGAAATCAGAACGGTTGCTTCCGGAAGACTGACTGAGAAGGGGCCTGAGGGAACTTTCTAGGGAGATGGAAATGTTTTATATATTGAAAGAGGTATAAATTACATGGATGTATGTATTTGTCAAAAATGATCAAATTAGGGCCGGCGGAGTGGCTTAGTTGGTTGGGAGTTGGCTTGGGAGTGCGAGCTCTGAGCAGCAGGGCTGCCGGTTCGGTTCCCACATGGGCCAGTGATGCTGCGCCCAAGCAGAGCTGTCACTGAGCTGCCAACATGTGGCAGGATGGCTCTGTAACAACAAGGTTACCTGTTCGGTGGTGGGCTACGCCCACCCGCAACTAAGACTGAACTCAACATCTTGGGCTGAGCTGCTGCTCGGATGGCTCAGTAGATAGAGTGTGAGCTCTTAACAACAGGGCTGCTGGTTCGACTCCTGCATGGGATGGTGGCTACGCCCACCCGCAACTAAGATTGAACACAGCACCTTGAGCTTGGAGGCCACGATCTGCCGACAGGCAGCCAGATGGCGACTGGAGTCCTCTACAACGAAGACTGAAGAACAACAACTTGGCTGGTCCCCTTCCCCAATTCCCCAATGCTGTTCCCCTCCCCCAATTCCCCAATAAAATCTTTAAAAAAAAAAAAGATCAAATTATATACTTCAGATCTGCATGTTGCACTGTATGTAAATTACGCTTCAATAATTTTTAAAAGTTATTGAAGAATAATACGTATATGCATATTATAGAACATTTATAAAATTACTCAATAGGGAAGTAAATAATAACTACCTATAATCCCTTTACCAGGGTTATCATTTTTTTACCGTTTTTTTCTCTCATCAGATTACCATTATGTAAGTAATTGATACTATACAAAGTTGTTTGTATTCTGCTTTTTTCACTGAATGTATTATGAGCATATTCTCATATTGTTTAACATTTTTCAAAATCATGATTTTCAGGTTGTATAGTATTATGAAGTATGGCTGTATGCTAATTTATGCAACTGTGCTCTATTTAGTTGGATTTCCTTGTGCATAATTTTTAAAATAAAATTACTGGGCCAAGAACAGGTACAGCTTTATTAAGACAGAATTTGTATAATAAAGTGCACATTTTGGAAGTGTACAATTTGATGTTTTGACACATGAATACACCTGTGAAACTATCAATAGTATCAAAGTACTGAACTAACTTATCCATCACCCTCAAAAGTTTCCTTGAATTCCTCTCTCTCTACCTCCCTGCAGGCCCCCACCCAGGAAGCCACTGATCTGATTTCTGTCACCATTGATTAGGTGCATTTTCTAGAATTTTATACAAATGGAATCATACAGTTTGTATTTTTGTTTGGTCTGACTTGTTTCACTTCACATGATTATATTGAACTACATCCATGTTGTTTCATGTTTTGATATCCTTTTTATTTCTGAGTAGTATTTCACGGCATTAATATTCCACAGTTTAACTATTTATCTGTTGATGGACATTCAGGTTGTCTCCAGTTTTTGGCTAATGCAATGAACATTTATGTACAAATATTAGTGTGGAAAATGCTTTAATTTTTCTTGGGTAAATATCTGGGAGTAGAATAGATGGGTCATATGGTAGATATATTTAATTTTTAAAGAAACTTCTAATATAGTTTTTTGAATTGACCTCCAGAAAAGGTTGTTCAGTTGTAAACTTTCACCAATATTGTGTAAGAACACCCATTTCACTACACGCTTGTCAATTCTGGGCATCTTTTTTAAAAATCACTATTTTATTTATTTTTATTTTTTTCATTTTAAGATATTATTGGGGAATTGGGGGAGGGGAACAGTGTTGGGGAACTGGGGAAGGGGAACAGCCAAATTGTTGTCCTTCAATCTTAGTTGTGGAGGGCACAGCAAGCTCAGCTCCAAGTCCAGTCGCACTGCTCAGCTCAAGGTGCTGTGTTCAATTAGTTGCAGGTGGACATAGCCATCATCCCATGTGGGAGTCAAACAAGCAGCCTTGTTAAGAGTGCATGCTCTATCCACTGAGCCATCCAGGCGGCAGAAGGCTCAGTTCAAGGTGCCAAGTTCAGTGTTTAGTGGCAGGCAGGTGTAGCCCACCATCTGGAACAGGCAACCTTGTTAGGAGCACGTGTTCTCACCAGCTGAGCCACGCTGCCACCTGTTGGCAGCTCAGCGGCAGCTCACTGGTTTATGTGGGAATTGAACCGGCAACCCTGTTGCTCAGAGCTTGCACCCTTGAGCAAGCTCTTAACCAACTGAGCCACTTGACCTGCCCTAAAATCTCTATTTTAATGTGCCTTTAAAATTTTTCTTGTTTTTAGTACATCTTTTGCTGATAACTAGAATAGTTGAACATTTTTTATAGGTTTATTGCTATTTCAACTTTTTGAGTTCTTTTTGTCTAATTTTTCTGTGGGAGTGCCTGTATTTTTCTTATTGATTTGCAAATGTTCTTTCTATATTAAGGAAACCTTTAAAAAAAATCTTACCACTCAAGGCAAATTTTAAACATCTCATCAATAGGATTGGTATATATGTTATTTCAATAAAATATATGTATTCTTTGGGAAGCAATATGTTTATTAATAATAAAGTTACAGTTTTTTAATATCACTGCATGTTACATAAGGAAGCAAGAATTCAAAATGCACAGCATCAGCGCTTATGTACTTTTGAGAACCACATATTCCAAAAAATTGATGTGCATGTTTTCCAAATTGCCTATCTGAAAGTACCTGAGTACCCAGATAACCTCAGCATCAAATTTATCATGTACTCTTGGTGGTTTAGATATGAAATGACCTCTCCAAATTCTAATATTCTCTTTTTCGATAACATTTAAAACATATTACCATATATGACTTTACGTTTTTACTTTTGAAAATACATACCACAAGTATAACCAAATGATTCACTATCAAGGGGAGTTTTTATGCAACTACGTGATTTATCACATTTCTCTCTACCTTTATAAATATCTTAACATTAAATCGTGTATACTTTATGGAAACTGTAAGTATATTTCCCCAAACTCCTCCCATCCTCTGCCCTATTCTCTTCCACTCTCTTAGTTTTTCCTACCAACTCAAGCCAGTTAGCTGTGTGGCTTTGGCTCAGTCACATAACTTCTTGAGGCCTTAGTTTCCTCATCCATAATGTAGGCATTATACTAGCCTCTGCCTCATGAGCCCCTTGTGAGGATTTCCTTAGATAATACATACAAAATACTTTGTACGTTATCTGGCACATGATAAACCTTCCGTAAATTGGAGCAGAAGGTTTCTTTCAGATTATTTGCTTCCTAAAGCAAATGTGAAAAATTCCAGCATTTGGTCTGAAAGTAAGGTAAGGATAAATTATCTTACAATCTCAAGCACTGCTGCGGTGACACCGGCTGCTGTGTCACTAGGAGTAGGGCCCTGCTGCGTGGCTTTTAGAAGGCATGAGGAAATCTCTTCTGATTTATGTGGCAACAATACTTGAGATAAAATCATTGTCATCCTCTCCCCACAGGTGGTGTTCAGGTCAAACTCCTTTGTACCGTGATCTTCCTGTCTTCTTTTATCCCTCCCAGACGAGTTGCAGAAACTGGGAGTCCAGTGCTTTTACCATAACTCATGTCTGGTGGGCTGGGCCAACGTGATATTCCTCTGCTGCCTGCCATCTCAGCTGCTGAATATCTGCTCCGAAATTCAAACCAGCCTTGGAAAAGCCTGCATCATGTACAGCTTTGTATCTGCTGTCCCAATACCCAGGTATCTTGTGAGGGTGAGCACAGAACCGGCAGAACGCTTGTCTCCTCAGCGCTGGCTTCTGCCTCCCACCTCCTCCCAGCCCCTACCTCTTGGAGCTGGTTGTTCACACTGGTGAGGTGGAAGCAGCTTCCTCGGCAGAAGGACCCAGCCGGCCCTTCTAATGGCGTCTTTCTCACTTCTCCACCAACTGCACATGTGGGTGGGAACTTTCCTTTGATGTGCAAATGTTTAGAACTGCAGCAGAGCCTTCCACTACTTGAAGCTGACTAGTGTTCTCCTTGTGTATCAGTGGGCACGGAAACCACCAGTCAACCGCATGAAGAGTGATTGAGAGCGTGTGTCAAATATGATGTTTGTACCCCTAGTGCCTAGCCCAGAGCCTGGCAAGTGATAACATCCAGTGTTTGTTAGGCAGATGGCTGAACAGTCCGACGGATAAGTGTGCCCTCAGCACTGACCCATACCTACGTGCGCGCTGAGCAGTGCTGGTGCAGGACTGCGGTCTGTTATTGGGGTTGGGTGTGAACTCAATGGGTCATGTGGCTTATTCCAGTCCTGGCACTGCACTCCCTGTCTTGGTGGCTTTATTTTCAGGTTGAAACTCCTACTGAAACACACCAATATCTTGCGGCCTCAGTATCAGTGTTTTGAAGGTTTTGCCACCAGCTGGGGGGCCAATAAGGAAGTTATAGCTGCTCTCCAAGATCCTATGATTCTTCAGGCTACCTGCCCCTTCAATCCTGCTGGTAACGGCTCACCCTATTTTTGGCACTCGTTTGAAAATTACCTTCCTCTTGACCTGATGCTATCTTATTAAATCCAATCCGTGTGTGTGTGTGTGTGTGTGTGTGTGCGTGTGTGTGGGGAGTACAATCTAGATAGATTCTCAGCTATATAGGAAGTTTTCTTTGTATTTTGTTTTTAATTTTTCAGTTTCTGATGACATACAATATTATATTAGTTTCAGGTGTACAACATAGTGATTAGACACTTACATAACTTATGAAGCGATCACTCTGATGAGTCTAGTACTCACCGGACACTATACCTCGTTACTACAATCCCATCAACCATATTCCCTGTGCTTTACTTTCTCAGCTATTTAGGTGTTGTATGGGAACGGCTTTGGTGGCAAAAAGCAGTCGCTATTAGGGAAAGCTGAGACGTCTGACTATTCAGACCTTTTAAGGATGAACTGGAAACGACCAGAGGGGAGAGCCTATTTCAACAGGAGATTGCAGGGGCTGGGACTAAATGGGTTTTCCCTGCTCTAATCTTGCAGTTTCCCCTAGTGCCTTCCCCTTATTAGCAAGGACCCTTCTGGAGTTTCCTAGGGAATGCTTTGGCCGTTAGTCATGCCTGTCCTCCCGTGGCAGGGTCAGCACATGATGTGCTATCAAGGACACAAACAGGGTTCTTGGTCTAGGAAGGAGTGCTTGCTTATCTTGAGGTTCATAGGACCAACCTGTCTTGGAAAAAAGGTGGCTGTTCACTGTCTGGGGTTTGTCCTGGGTTCCCTGTAAACCTGTTTGGTGGTGCTAACTGGTGTTTCCCTGTCATTGGTGTGTAGGGGGAATAATCCTCAATATCAAGTGGTTGGAGGGTGTGTTCTATGCAGCCCTAAACATCTGCACAGAGAAGGCTGTGCCGCATTTACTTGCGCTGCAGCTTCTGAATGAACTCTTCCTCTCCGTGCACTCCGAGGACTGCCAGGAAGAGGGGGCATCCTGCCCACAGTTTCAGCTGCAAGATTTTGTCAGCAAAGTCTACGCCGAGAACCTGTCTCGGAAACGGTAAGGGAGCCAGCCGGCCTCTCTCCTTCCTCCCACACTGCTGACTTAGCTTCTGCTTTATTTTCTTCTTTTCATGTTATCTTTAAAATTTTGTAAAAATACATTCTTGTCAGAAGTCCAGCTAACAGAAAAGTAAAAGCCCTCCTTTGCTCCTCAAGTACCATTTCGTGGGTTTTACCTCTAATGGTTTTAATATTTTTGTCTTTTTATTTATGCATTTACAAACATATATTTATACTGTCATTATAATGTGTATGCATATCTATATCTATATACACATTTTAGAAACGAGGGGACTATATATATTGCATTTTCACTTACTGTGTCGTGGATACATTCTGTGTTAGTACAATCCTATCTATTTCATGTATGAGCAACTGCACAGGCATCCATTGGATACATTTATTTAATTAAATTTATTCATCCTATTTCCTCTTAATGGTGATCTAGTTCCCCCTGCCCCAAATTTTACAGAAAGGGCAGCAGCAGCGATTCTTGTACTTATTCTGCATACTTGTATCAGGATTTCTATTGGATGAATAGCTAGAAGAATATTTCTGGGTTAGAGATTATATATATTTTACATTTGATAGATATTCCCGAATTGCTTATTGAAACGTGGTGCTTATTTTCATTTCCAACTGTCGTGTATGAAAGTGCCATTGCCCTATAGCTTCATAACTAGAAGACCAATCTTTTTAATCTTTGATAATCTAATGGGGAACCATTGCTGCCCTTGTTACCAGCTCTCTTCCTTGTCACTAAATTCACTGGACACTTTCAAATCTTTTTTTTTTTGGCCTTGACTATTGAACATGCCATCCTTGTTGAAGCAGTCTCTTAGGTTGGCTTTCCTCCTACCCTCGTGTTCTCCTCATTTTCTTCCTGTCTCTCCAGCCCCTCATTTGTCAGCTCCTCTTCTGCCCTATCCTTAAATCTGGGAGTTTTCAGGGCTCTCTTAGTCCTAGGCCTTCTTTCCTTTTCATTGTACGCTTTGTTCCTGGGCGATCTTTTCCCATCTGGGGATTTAGGTTGCCCTCTTTACACTGATGGCTCCGACTGTCTCTAGCCTAGCAGTCAATTCTGCGTTCGTTCTCACCATCTCCACTCAAACTCGTGTCCAAAAGCATACCTGCTCTCACACCTGCTCAGTGTTTATCTTCTTACAAGCTTCTCCACCAGCTGTTCCCGCCAGCACCCTGGAAGTAATCCTTGTTCTTCCCTCTCTCTTTTGTATTCTAATTAATTACCAATGGGCTGTGATACACTCCCAGTTTGGGAATTATCCTGGGGTTCCCCTTCACCTCTCTCTTATGTTGCATCTTTTTCTGGATCCCTCTTTATCTGGTATAGTTTCTTTTTTTTTTTTTCGTCGTTGTTTTCATAGTACTGGATCAGGTCCTCCTCCAATAATTTCCTGACAAAAGGATGCATAGGAAGTAATTTTTAGGCAGTATGTCTGAAAATGGTTTTATTTTAACCTAATATTTTATTGAGAACATAGCCAGGCATAGAATTCTAGGTTAGAAATAATTTTCCCTCTGGGCCGGCCAAGTGGCGCGTTGGTTAAGAGCTGGCTTGGGACGCCAGCTCTGAGCAGCAGGACCTCGGTTCAGATCCCACATGAGGGCCAGTGACGCTGCGCTCTCTACAGCTAAGATGGTGAACAACAGCTCGACCTGGAGATGGGCTGCCGTGAGTCGCCCGCGACGGCATAGGTCGCAGTGGGGCTGGCCGGCAGCGGGCATGTACTTTCGTGAGCTGCTGTGAGCCACCGTGAGCAGCCGTCCAATGGCCGGTGAGCGACTGTCTCGCCCGGGGAAGAGTGCAATA